AAATAAATTTTGGCTCAATATTTGAGCTTAATTTCCAGAAATATCTAAAATGCCCCTAAACATACTTCTGATATCTTATATTTTAATGACATTCTCAGTATTAACGACTATAAATTATCAACTCATGAATGTTGAAGATATTCTGCAGTATCAAATATTCAGTTAATATCATTATTTATGTAAAAGAAGTACGCCCAGCTCATTAGTATGCAAAGTTTGCTTTTCATCTATTATAAATAGTAAAAGTATGCTAAAATAGATACATGATTTGTTATGGTGTTTGATGTACATATCTATTTTATATACCTATATGCTGTTATTTATTTTTAAAAAATCTCATGTGAAAAGGGGTCACAAAGTAGTCAGAGAAAATTAACTGGAAGAACCTTGAACTCTGTGACAGTGGTTGCCATTCAGTAACAGCTCATTCATAGGACAGGATACAAAAGGGCTAAAACTGTTGGACTAAATGAAAATTATCAAGGTCCTGATGATAGGCTACGAGTTGATATAGGGATCCAGTGCAGGGCAAGAGCAGCCGCGATGAGGATGTGTATGCTTCTTCTTTGGTGATGACACTAGAAGAAAAGACTGCTGGCTTCATTGTGGTTTCTGATGTTGTACTGGTGCAAAGGGTGGATGGAGGCCATAGTGACACTTCAAGGTGAGGTCATCTTGTGAACAGTTCAGAGGTTTAAACTGTTAAATCCAAACTGAGCTATAATACAATTGGAAGGTGACTTCCTGGTCCTCATAATTAGTACCAGCTAGCTGCTGCATAGGCACAGCACTGATATTCTAACCATGTGATTGAAGGTTTCCAGGATTCTATTTAGAAAATCACTCTCTTTCAAGGACTACCTGCAGGTGTGTATGAGGTAGGGGAGGCAACCAGAATACTCATGTAAAATAATTCTAGCTAGTGGACTTAATTACTTAAAAGAAATATTGTACTTGTCCAAGAGCCTAATGCCCATTCTTGTGGAGGAGAAATGTGACTTTTTTTATTGATTACTGTATATAAGAGTTTAATCTGATGATTATTTAATATGAAAAATTACTAACTGAATATATATGTACCTATATATATATATATATATATATATATATATCATCAAATTCTAAATCTAAGTGGTCTCAAACATAATGCACATCAATGTAGCATTTTTATTTAAAATGTTAGCTCATTGGTTCTGTTGTAACCCTAGAATTGGCATCACTAAGAAGACCCTAAGTAATATTGATACAAAAGGCACAACTATATGTCAGTCAAGCTCTTTGACCAGCATCCCTACCCATTTCAGGTGTTTAATATGTATTATATTGAATCTCTATGTTCCCAGTCCTTACATTAGTAAGGCACATATTTTAGACCATTGAAAACTCAACTATCTTAAATCTTCATAATAATGCCTGTCATTTAATTTATCTCATTTTAAAAAAAATACATCAAGTGAAATTATTGAACTTCACTTGATGTCAGCCAAGTCTGGGCTTATCTTTATTTCTTGACAAGTCATTGCATTAGTCTTCAACCAAATAAGTTGTCTTTCTCCATTCTTTTCATTTACTATACTGCAACATAGAAATAGGAAAATTACAAATGACGGAAAAAAATTCTCCTTAGCTAATAAAATCTGTTATAAACTGACTATACCATATTCTTTTCTTATTTTCCACATATTTATCTGCTTTCTAGATTTGGGCTCCTTCATATATGATTCTAAAATTCTGAGCTATGCTCTAAGAATAATTTTTGAAGTCTTACTAGTTTTTAAATTCTATTGTGACATACTTATTGATTTACTAGTTGAGCCCATGAATTTTAGGATGAAAATATGGCATTTTACATTAAATGGTATGTACTACTGTTAGTGATTCTCAAAGTATTTTTAACCCAGAAATAGACAAGAACACCAAAAAATACACTAGAAAAATGTGCAGAATTTTCATATGAAGGCTTTCCTTTAAATATTATTAATTTGAACTAATAGCATGTGTTATCCACAAATAACCTTTTGTGTTTTTCTTAGGCTTCAAAGTACAATTTCTTTTAAAACTCTTGTTAACTCTTTGATTAATCATGTCCTTGACCCTTGTACTGAAAATGTTTTAGTGAATGATTACTTCATATATCTTTAAACACATTCTGGTGACTCCCAAACTGATTGTTTAAATCATTTTTATACAAAATTTCATCAAGACCTAGCTAGTGTACAGGTATTTTTTTAAAAGTTAATTACTTTGTAAGTGTGTCTAACACTGCAATATGATATGTCACCACTGTCTGGAAACTTTCTGAATACTAAGACATATATGTATATATCGGCAGACAGAAACTAACTATGTAGCTTACAAGTGTACTAGCATACTTATCTATTTCTGGTCTTAGTGTTTTCTTAGGCTTCTCCACATGAGCAGCTACTTTAAAGTTTTAGTTGAGTCCAGTACCCCATCAAACAGATGTTAGAATACAATTTATGAAGTGCATGAATGGATAGATTGATAAGTATTCCAGACATGGAAAAAATCTTATGGCTGCTAAAGAAATATAGTACTTTAAAATATAATTAAAATGATTATTTGAGTGTGTTTTTCTTCAAACATTAGACCAAAGTGAATTGTTTACAAAAATTTATTCATACAAATTTTACACACTTTATATAACAGTTATCAAAGTCCTAATTATAGATACTATGTGTGTAATAATGCTTGGTTAATATGTTTTATAATCAGTTGCACACAAAATAAGAGCTTCAAGACTAGCATCTACCTATATCATCACTAAATCATAAATCTGCTCCAGTTTAGTAAGGCTCTTGGCATTTCTAAAAAGTATACAAAAGATTAAATTGGGTGATCACTGTAAAATGCTTGCCACTAGCCACGTGAACACTAAGTAAGACTTCATAAATAAAAGGTTCACTAGAGCCTTGTTTCACCACTAACAGCCGACACAAATACAGAAAACTCTGCCCATTATCCAAGAAATAAATAATTAAGACTAAAACGCAAGCCGATGTGTTGCAGCATTTTAGGGCCACTAAATAGCCATCTGTGATTCGTGGCGATTTAAAAGGCAAAGAAAGGCACTAAAGCTGCAAACTGCATCCCGGGTCACATTGCCTGAGGAAACTGCTGAAATCAAGATTGATCCTGTAGCCCGACACAGGCTAAGATCAAATGCCTGCTTTCTCTATTTGCAATGATTTGCAGTGTGATCTCGGGGCAGCATCCATCCACCCGCCTGGGAATGCAAATACAGTTCTGTTTTCTTAGATGCCTGACTTCATACTAACTAAATCTGTACAGGAAAATAAAAAACTCCTTTAAACTTTACAAACTAATGTTTTGGGGTTTTTTTTCTTTTTTGGGGGGGGGTCTTTTTTCCCTTGGTTTTGAGGGGTTTTGGATTTTAAGTTTAGGGGTTTTTTTGGGTTTTTTTTTTTTAATCTTGCCTAAAATTTGGGATACTTGCTGGTTTGTTGCTGCTTGATCTGGTTGCTGGGTGAAGGTTCTTTTGTTTATAAAGATTACTCCATATATGTTCAAGAAATTGACAAGAAACAGACATGCTTTCTTTAGCCAAGACAGGATACAAGGTTGGGGTGTGGGACCCATAGATATAAGATAGTACTCATACATATGAAAATAGGGTTTAAATGATTTATCAGTAAGTCAAACTGAGCAATATTGGAACACTACACATTCTAATATGACAAAGATCGATTTTATGAAACAAATTTTACTAAGCAATAAGCCATAATGTAGAAAAATACATTTTACCTACAAACTCAAGAAACAAAAGGTTCATATTTAGTGCATAATTACTTCGTGGTAGCTACACAGGGGTTCCTAAACTTCACAGTAACTGCTTGCATCAAACAACAACAAAAAAAAATGAGTAGCATTCACAAATTTAAGAGAAGTGAGTGAAAAATGGCAAATGATTCTTAAACAATGCAGGGGGGTAGGGGTAGAGAGGAGGGTTCTCCAGAGAAACCACACAGAACAGGGGTGGCTTCTACAGGATAGAGTTCATAGGGGAGGACCCTGGCCATTTCACAAAATGAGAAGCATGGACAGCACTGGAGAAAAACACATTGTACTTTGCACTCATTTCCAATACCCAGCACCCAATCTGTCAGGCAATGGAACCCTGCAAAGGGGCTGGACTTGCCTCCTGATTCTCAGACCTGGGGCAGTTCTCAAACAGTCCCTCTGCAGGGTCCTCCTCTGCCACCCCATGCTCTGCCTCTTCCAATCCGCCTTTTATTTCTTTCACCAATTTGTTTCAATTGCCCTAGCCTTGGGATCGTTGGTTCCCTGGAGAATCGGGAAGTACAGAAAAGAGAACTCTCTCCAAGCCGGTCTCCTCTGTACAATTTCTCAACTCTTATCCCAGGGAATGATATGAATTCTGGGGAGAAGCACAATTTGGATCTCGCTGTTGTTTAATTAGAATTTCCTTCTGGGCTGAAAGTCTGAGGAGAGACAAATATACATAAAAGTAGAATCAAAGAAAGCAAAAGTGTTGGAATTGCCCGCAGCCAGTGGGACAATGCCCTCTTGAGTTAGTTAGGCTGGGGTTCAAGCAGCCTGCCCCAGAGACTCACAGGGAAAGAAAGCCCTTCAACAATTCCCCCAGTCATTACCTCAGAATTCCCCTGGAGTAGGGTACCACTGTTTTTTGGCAAATGGCCATTAATGGTATCTTCAGGCCTGTTGTGGATAAAAATACTACCCTTTAATTCCAGTTTACAAAAATAGGAGTAATATTCAAAGCAATGATTGTCTATTTTTTTCTGTTCATTTTATATAAAAACATAAACAGCTCAGGCGAATTTTCAATCCTTGTGCACGCTTATGAATTGCTCTCTGTTATACTTATATATATATTCTTAATATATATTTATAATATATATCAATAATTGGTCCACAAAGTATATCTGTGCATTCTCTAGTGCTTCGTAAAAAGAAAAACAATATTATTATCAAAATAGTTATTTAATGGCTTTACTTCATACATAAATACATGTTTGGAAAGAACACATGAGCGATGACTGGTCAGTCAATTTGGAAAACGACTTTTCATTTTATACACACCGTAGCTGGCAACTCGTCGCTACAAGTACGCTATTCGGCGTCCTTTGTTTTTAACCCTCTGTTTATACCTTTTCCCTAACACGGCCGCCAAGTATTTCTTGACAGCCATTTGTTTTCTGTAGCGGCTGTAGCTATCGGTGAAGATGCCATCCGAGTGGCGTTTGGTAAGAGGAGCTCGGTCATCTGCTGCGCCCGCGCCTGTGTTCTCGCTGCAAAGGGAGGGGGCGGGGCGAGAGACACGTTGAATGACTTTGAAGGAAATAAGAGTTCCCCACCCCCACGCTGGAGCCTGATGGACTACGAACTTCCCAGCACAGCCCTCCTCTGTGGCGCCCCAGCTGGCAGAAATACTGAGCTGGAGACCCCGGGGAACCTCCTTCCCACACACAGTTTCCTGGCACTGTATCTTTCCCATCTTTCAAGATATTTCTGAAGCATCCCAGGGCGTCCGGAGAATCTGCGCTCTTTAATCTTTTCTCCAAACATTGCTTCTCAAGACTACACTGTCCATGGCGCTAGCTAAATTGTCCAGACTTCTATAACTTTCCACCACCCGACATACAAAGGTTCCTAAGGACCTCGCTGGCTTCTGCCAAGTTATTGATTCCGCAAATCTAGGCAAACATGGCACTCCTCTATCTTTGCTTACGTTAAGTTGAAAAACGTGATAGTGATATAAGGCGACAGGCTGAAGGCAATATTTTTCACTCCATGAATTATTCATGGTTAAATGTAAGCTGCTTCCCTGTGGTCTTTATTTAAATATTGCCTTCTGCTGACAACAGCTTCACGCAAGACCTTAGCTCTGGGTTTGTCTAGCCAGAACAAAAACTGTTTCCTTTAAGTATCCAATTCGGGGACTTTGTTTCTTAGGTTTGCCTTCATAGTAATCGTAATACTCCTCCCCCAAATTAGGACAAGCCCTTCCAGCAACCTCGAGAGTTTTGAATGACTGGGAAGGCGCTTATCTGGTTGGCTTGGTTCTAGGTTCAACAAAGAATCAACCCCCAATGTTCCTACCCTCTTTCTATCTTACCCGGTCTATGGCTCTTAGGACAAATTTAAACGCCCAACTTCTAGAACTCCGCCCGAGGCTGGTAATATCCACCTAGATGCCAGGACGCAGACACACCCTCAGGCGCACAGGCGTGCTGGCGCGAGTAAACGTAGAAGCTGCCCCGCCCTCCCTACACGCTCTCAGTACTGTCATCCACCCTGGCGCGCGCATCACTCCCGGGTTAACTCTCACTAACTCTTACCCCAGGCCCCTGGCCACGACCGACTGCAGGTACTTCCTGGTGGACAGCTGGTCCAAGACTTTGCGATAGGCTTCGTTAAGGACCTCATGGGCGACATCTCTAATGAGGGAGAGAAAGTTTGCGACCTGAGTCACTCACTGCCACGGACCTTCAAAAGTCAGCCACTTGCTGGCCTTTCAAGGAGGATCACCCGACAACCACTGGGGGTTACTTTGGGAAGTTTCCGGGGTAAATCTAAGATAGGGTTTAGCGCTGGCCTCTGGGGTGACCTCGCTGGCACGAGAGCTCCTCACCTATCGAGTTGCACACTCACTGACACCTCTGTGCTGCAGAATTTTCAGTCCGTGGTGCAGCCTCAGGTACACAGGGATCTGTCTGCTAATTTTCTGTGGCTCTCGCGGATTCACCCAGGTAGAAGGGAGGCTTGAGGACTTTCATGGGAAGTGCCCTAGTTTTAGAGCCACTACCGGGTCCCTCCCTCCACTCCAGGCCCAAACTTTAGGCGGGTGCCGGGCGATCTGTACCTCCTTTCCGCTGGATAGTAGAGGGCGTAGGCGTCACGCAGCGCGGAGGCGGGGCTCCCTACGCCCGGAGGGTCCCAGTCGTAGAAGTCTTGCAGAGGGTTTCCGTCCTGGTCGTACGTCTCATCTTCTGGTCTGCAAGATAGCCAAAAGGATGATCATTAAAAGTCCCTCCCCAGTTCTGCCAGGTCCCAAGAAGGTTCCCATTGATTTTCCTTCTTCGTTAATGGGCCCTGGAGGAGAATTATCCTTTCTTCCAGAATGGTCCTAGAAACCGGGTAAAGGAACTACACCCAGCATAATTTCCTGCCCACTAAGGAAATTCGCTCACATCTCCTCAGGTCGCCTGCAAGCTAATTAAACAACCCTGTAGACCCCAATACTTGGCCAAGTGAAAGGCCAGTTCTCTCCCGACCTGGCGCCCCAGGCTTCCCCAAGAAGCATTTAGAATGCCCGAGAAAGAGATGATATGAGCAGAAATGGGGAGACCCAGAGCGGAGAGGAAGTGAAGGGTGGGTAGGTAGGATGCAGGAGGCCAACGCTGGCAGAAGCCACCCCCATCCAAGCCGCCCAGCCCAGGGGAGCCCTTCCCCGCGTGGATGTAGGTCACAGAGAACCTCCCGCTTCTATTTTGGGCTGGAGAGAATCTGCTAGGAACATGAATAATAGATGCCCCTAAACTTAGCTAGTTTGGCTCATTCTGTGGTGCGGCAGAGCGCTCCAGTGCCTATCACCCAGGAAAAGTGCTAGGTACACGGAACTTTGAGAATAGCCAGAGGTGAAAGAGGGCTTTCGAGTCCATTAAACAAAGAGTTCCTGTTGATCTGTTAGCAATGGTGGGGAGGGTGGATTCCATCTCAACCCTAGAGCGCAAGGAAAGGGGTCAACTGGGGACTGACATTCCATAGGTGTCCAGCCATCTCACAGTCTCCTCACCTATAGCCTCCATGCCCGACAGAGGACAGGCAGAAGAGGACAAAAATGCAAAGCAGGTGGCTTTTGGACCTTGGAGATACGCGGAATGCAGTAGGTAGGGTCCAGTCGTGCTTGCGCTGCTATATCACCTTTCAGCCCTTGCTGGAGAGGCCAGAGTCAGATGAGATCCTCTACATAGTCCACATCCAGGCTTCCCCGCTTCCCGTTTGCCCCCAGCCCGGGCTCTAGACCCAGGATCTTTCTAGCTACCCCCAGCTCTTGCAGGCGCCCACATGCCAGAATCCTGATGAAAAAGCTAGGAATCCTGTTTGCATATATCAGTGGGCAGACGCCCACTAAGGCAGAGGTTCTTGGGCGCGGCTGCAAGAGTCAACTCAACGTCAACGCCGCGCGCTCCTGGCTGCCCTCAGTGCCACCCTGCACCGGTCAACGCAGACCCACGCATTTCCACTGTCCCGCATAAGGGTGGGGGTGTTCTGAGGCTATGGTAGGGAACCCTGATAGCGCCTCACGATTAGAAGCAGATGCCAAGACAAAAGCCAGGTTTTCTGCATACTCAAGTGGGCTACGTTGTCCTCCCAACCCCTCCAGCCTGCTGGCTTTCTTTCATTTCTCCGCATCCGTTTATTCCCCTCCCTTCGCTCCTTTTTGTGTTTTCCGTCTCTTAAGTAGCTTTTCTTTAACCGTGGCTGGCCAAGACCCCCCTCCCATAAGACCTATAGGGCTCAAACTCTAGTTGAAACAGGATTCATTTGAAAGAGAGCTGTTCCGGTGGAAAAGAATTCGTATGAGACAACAGGAAGGGCGGAGGAGCGAGAGACCCCGCCCCAATAGTCCAGAATAGGCAGTAACAAAGCAAAGTGGAGAGAGCTTCACTCTCAACCCTGGGCTTTTCTCTGGGAGCTGAAGTTCTCCAACTCGTCCTAAGAATAGGTAAAAGAAACTGAGCGGAGGTGGGGGGCACCCTGCCCCCTCTCTTGAGCAAGTTGGAGGAGGGAGGTTTCTACAAGGGTCGGAAACTCACTCCCTTTACTTGGGTTCCTGGGTCCCACTGGTGAGAAGGGAAGGAGTCTGGATGTACTAGAGCCTTCCTAACCCCCAGGGTTAGCTAGGGACCTGGTACCCAGCCAAAGGCTGTAGAAATGACACGGACACGCAGGAAGCGATGCTTAGAAGCCTGCAATCCAGAACTGCAGGGAGGCGACCGGGAGGAGGTGTCTGGCGATGGGAAGATCTAGCTCAGCCTAGGCTAGCACCTACCTGATCCCAGGGAAACGGAGTCCGGCGGCGGCAGGTGAGCAGGAGACGCTGTTATGCATTATTATCCCGTAGACCAGCAAGGCCAGCCTTGCTCCGCTACACATGGTCATTCTGCGCAGGAGGGAAAAGAGGGAATGCAGTGAGCGAAATCTCTGGCTTTCCGCCTTCTAACCTCAAGAAACTCTTGGGAGCTGGGGGAGCCAGCGAAGCTGCGGCTCCCTGTGTTGAACGCCACTTAGCCACGCTAGTGCGTCTGGCCACTTCTCCCTTGGTATAGTTAGAAACAAAAAAAAAAAAAAAAAAAAAAAAAAAAAAAAAACCTATGTATGTGCCCAGCACTCAGCAACTAGCCAGACCTTGAACTAAAGAAGGCTAACTCCACACTGATACTGCTGCCAGCACAGGGAGGGATCCTGTAGTCAATGAATCGGTTAGTATGGTATGGTAAGAGGTCCCCCCCCCCCTTACTATTAGACTCTTACCGCAGCTAGGCGAGGGTTGGTTGCCAAGTAGGACGGAGGGCAAAGGGCTCCTTGGAGTTTCCGGGCCAGAATCACAACCCAAGAGGCATCACTCACTGTCTGGCGCTGGTGTCTGGAGAGAAGCCACGGGAATTAGCTGGAGCAGCTGGGGGGACTTGTTTGCCGAGGCTAAAATTCCGCTCAAAACTTTGTAGACGCACAGAACTAGAAGGGAGCTTGACACTGAAGAAGGTGGGCGAGGAGAGATGTAGAAGACAGAGTAGGCGAGCAGCCAAAGGGAGGGGGAGCAGAGTGGCCTTAAGTCAGCCTGGGGAAAAAAGCAAGTGGGTAAGAAAAAGAGAGAAAGTCAAGAAAGAAAGAAAAATGAAAAAAGGAGAAGGCTAGCCCAGGCTGCCTCTGTGGAAGGCGAATCAGGCAGCTAGCAAGAGTCCGAGCCACCTTCTCTGCTCCGAGGTATCAGGCTGCGTCTGAAGATGCTGCTTCTGCTGCTGCTGACAGAGGTGACCGGCCTTCTGCTCGTATTTATATATGCAGTTAACACAGAAAAGCTCGAATGTGGTTTCAAGAGACACCTCTTTGTCAACATCTGTCTGCAATTGCCTTCAAGTACAGAATATTTTGGTTGCACTGTTGCGCTCCGATTTTTATTCATGATATGACTTCCTTTTTTTTTTTTTTTTTTTTCAGTCACGTAATGATCCGGTATCAGTAAAAGACGTCAGCATCCTAGTCCCTCAAGGAACATATTAACTATTCTGTGCTGTCCTCCAGGATGATAAGATCCGGAGTCATCAGCTTCTCATAAACACCTTTCACTCACACAATCCAATTTTTAAGAAGTCCAATTATTTTGATGGTTTTAGATTTCACCCATTTCTCAAAGACAAGTGAAGAATTCGTGGAATTTAGGGGCTGGTGAAGTCATGTTTTTATTGTGTCTCTTCTTTTTGCTTTTTTACTCAAGCCCCTTGGGGGACAACTCTGATCTTTAGAATTAAGCACCATCAAGCTCTCTCATCAATAAGTTTAATTTAGATCTCTTAATTTCTTGCTTATGCTACTCCAGACAGGCAATTAAATGTGGAAGTCGTTTTGTGTTTTAAAGGGAAGTCTTAGAGGATTTTCAGTAAATATCTAATGAGACTGGCTGGGTTGACAGACTCTCTGAGTGGACCGGCAAGTCTGCCTTGAGAGCGGAGCCTGTGGCGCTGTCCATGCTCTGGGTACTGAACTGTTAGGCGCAGTTGCTACAAACGTTGAAAATTGCCACTGGCTTAATTTTCACCACAGCCTCTATATCCGAAGGTTTGGCAGTGTGCTCTTACTGTGGCAATTCATTGTCGAAATCACCCCGCTGTTCGGATCCATCTCCCCTTGCATCTTCTGTCCACGAATGTCCTAGTGCTCAGAACCTTCTTAATCTTGGCCTTAGATTTCAACTCAGAGCTTTTTCCTCTTAGTTCTGGTAGTTGGATCTCTACCTTCCTTGTTTGCATGCATATTTTCACACTCTTTGTGCCTCTTACTGATTTTAAAAATTGAAACCATGGCATCTTGTTTTCTTCAATAATTGAAATTTTAAGAATGTGAGAGTGAGAAATGTGTGTCTTACACTTCTCTTACAAGTTGAATCCAGTTTAGATAAATACAGGCTGGGAATGCAGGAGGATTTCTAGCAATGATTATCCTGGTGAAGGTTACTACCAGGAACCCTTCCCTGGAAAGCACCTATGCTCACCACTGTACCACCAATGCAGCATGGAACCCTTCCCTGGAAATAGTTAATATTTTTAACTAAAAATAAAATGAGAAGAAGAAAGCAATAAGGAAAGACCACATCCACCAGGAACCTTCTGAGCCTTTGAGTAATTCCAGACGATTCATAAATTTCTGGTCCACTAAGGGATCTTGAGTGTCTTTCTTTTCAAAGAGAAATAGAAGCATCAATAACCATTAGTGTATATTTTAACTATTTGGATCTTATGCACACAAAAAATAGAGGAAATTACAATTAAGTGGAAGTGCTTCCTGTTACTGTGATTTTGGCTAGTGTTTAAATAAGCTGTTAGTTCTGCATACTTTTTTAGAATCATAATGTTTTAATGCTATTCCCACTTTTTGAGATTTAATTCTTCCTCCAAAAATTAAACCTTTTTCTTATTTCCTGGCTATGAATGATCCAAAGCTGTCTATTTTGTCTTAGTTTCCTTCTAGCTTTAGACTGACTACTTTCAACAAACTAGTTCTACACAGGGGTGTGTTTCTTTCTTAACGTTTCTCTGTGTATTATTTAATATCTACCTGCTGGAGTGTCTACTGCCTGTGTTATGTGCTTAGTGGCCACTTTCCCTAGCCTTCACACAAAGAGCCTGCAGTGAATAAGAAGGATAATCCAGCAGAGCCGCCTTTCTTAACAAACTTGCCCAAAGCAATTGCCTACAGTGGCTTTCCTGATTTCGTTCTCTCTGCAAGTAAAAGGTGAACCCCATTAAAATCCTCACTTTTGCCTCCCACTTGAATTCTGAAGTGAGTTCAATCTGGAAAAAAAAATACTTTAAAATCTCCAAGACTACTTGTTTAAAATTCACTGCTCAACACCCAACTTTAGCCAAGAGAGCCACCATGTGGGGAATATTGTTGAGTTCATGATCTGTTAAAGGAGGAAACCACAAACAGGAAAAATAGCCAAACCTTCAAGAGTGCCAGCTTGCTTCCAGCTCACTGGGGTTGTGTCAATCTTGATCACTGGACCTGGGTGCCCCCAGAGGTTACTCAGGATCCAAGACTCCAAAATCACGAGTTGAGATTGACCCCACTCACAACAGTGAACAACTGCAGAGAATTTGAGATTCTTGGTGAATGAATTCCAGAGACCTTGTTTTCCTGGTGTCATTTAAAGCCCACCTAGCCCTGCCCTGCAGTGAATTGAGGGCTAAAATCCAAACAGGCTCATTCTCACAGATATTTTCATGGACAGTTGCCATCTTTAATTAGGAGGATTTGGTCTCTGGAGATCAGGGAGTCCCTGATCTGTCCTATTGAGAACTCTTGTCTGAGCCCTTGGACAGAAACATTGGGAGATGGAGAAAAGGCTGAACCCTTGGTTGATGAGAAATGAAGGGCTATGTGAGAAAAGATGGGAAGTTGAGGGCTAAGGTTCTGAGACATGTGTGAGTTTGAGACTACATCTCACTTGGTCAAATCATCCACTGGAGCCTTTTATGTTTTTGAATGTTTGGGTGATGTCTCAAACACCAGGGTGGCTCCTTAGCTACTACTCACAAAAGTGGATATTTGCCATTAATCTCAGGGATGCTCCAGTGCAGATGTAAAATGCTAAGTCTAGGAGGCTTTTGAGTTTGGAATTTTAAATCTACATGCAGTAAGAAACTATCAGCCAAAAAGCAGTAAAGAAAGCTTCCCACCCAACACTGTCCACACTGACTGGTATAACAGAAAAGACTAGGTAAGAGACCAAAAACAACCATGTAGACTTATTAATTAGGCATGCACCTAACTACTTGGACTAAGACACAGAAAGGAGCTTAAGCACAGATTCAAGGGACCTTCAACCAAACAGCTGTTACTGGGAAGAATAGGGAGTGGGAAAGAGGAGAATATGGAGGAGGAAGGTCTTCTGATTCTTTTTTTTTTTTTTTTTTTTTACCCAATTTCTATCCCAACTGGATTTTTATAACCTCCTACCAGTGAATCTATAAATAACATGAGGAATTGCCAGATATCCTATATATAATTGCAAATAGGGGAAGAGGATTCAACTCTTCTAGTTAGATAGCACAAAGGAATGGAAAGCCTTCTCTCCACCATCCATATTCCTTCCTCTTCATCCTCACAGTTTGGTAGAGTTCCCAGGCTAGCAGTTTCTCTCCAGGCTATGAAACCCAGAAATGTTACATTAGCTGCAATCATATTGTCATAGAAAAGATGGAAGAACCTGGAAATCTTGTAATGCAAGTTCTCATCACTGTCCTTCAACAGTGATGAGTTTAAGTCCAAGATACCTGAGTTTAAGTCCACACACACACACACACACACACACACACACACACACACACACACACACTGCTGACTGGAAAACAATCTTTAGAAATGTTCGTTGAAAATGAGGAAAAGCCCTAAATTTCAAATTCCTAATATGTTACCTCCTGTTTGCCCTGTTAGTCCTTCAGACGTGAAAACAAGTTTTGATCCAAAACAATGAACAAGCCAAAACCCAAATTAACAAATCCTTGAATTGTTTCTCCTGACACATCTGCATTTCTGGTGTGGGAGCCTTGGACACTGAGTCAACACTCAATTAAAAGAACTTTTTAGTCTTCAAAGAAGTAGATTTTTGTATTGAAACATTTTTGATCTTTTGAAACATGACCCCTGTGGAAAGTCTGAATTTACAGGTAGTTTCCCATTAGCAAACACAACAGCATTAGAAGGGTCTTGTTTGTCAGCCAGATTCCTCCTCTTTGAACCAGCTCCACCTGAAGAATCTGTTGAATGGGAATCTTCATCCATCTAATCTATAGTGAGTTACATTATCTTTGACTTATCTTTTGCCTTTATGCAGACCAGTGAAGAGGAGCTCATTTTCCCAGATAAGATAATAACTACTCATTTCCTCCAGATCCAGTTATTCACAGCACTCAATTTCCTTGTGTCCCTCCCCCACTTAGCACTCCACATTGCACATTACCACTACTGTCTATACCCTTCTCCACCAGAATTTTTAATCATGTAAAAAGGATATGTTTGCACAAAGCATATTTACATATTCCTAGCATAAGTAAAATTCAATAAAGATTTAAAACACCATGTGTTCTATTCCTATTCTTTTCTAGTTGGCATTTAGCATAAGAACCAGGCTATTGTGAGCCTTTCTGGTGAACAAGCTTAATGCAGAACATCATTCTCCCTTGTGAATGACAGAAGTGAATTATAAGTCTGTATTCAATTTCACTCTAAACCTTTCTCTTCTGACTCTTCCAGAAAATGTGATGACTAATGACTCACTTCATACTGATTCCACCTGTAGGGAAACCCAAATGTTCTGCCACAGAACATCATGACCATGGCTTCCTTTGCTGTATGCATCATTCTCCTCTGAACTCACTGTGAAGTAAGGAGAGATGAGCATACCCATGTGTCATGACTTCTCTGACCTTCAGAATGGAGTGTCTCCCACTCTGAAAACAACCCCTAAGGGAAGCCTTTCCAAATCACTCAAGAAAAGTATTTCTCTCTAATCCAAGAAAAGAATTGCACATTCATATGGCTAAGAAATTTGCTGGTTTTTTGATACACAAAGCAGAATAACATAGGAAAAAAAAACAGCAAGTATGCTTTGTATTGTGGAGTTAGATCATTTCAATAGCTCTATGAACATTTCTTCTGAGGCCTAATTAAGCTGAACATGAATCTATTGACCACCAAAAACTACAACCCAGGCCTCACTGTTTGGGTTCTACAACATTGTCCAGAGATTTTTAAAAATAAAAAAGAAAGTCTTCCTGACTTCAGCTTCCTCCTCTTCTCACATAAGGCTTAAGTATAGGAGTAAAAGCTTGAAGAATATCCAAGAAACTCAATATCCTAAATAGTTCAGCTGACAACTTCTGAAAACATTGAAAGAGAGACCTATGTACAAAGTATTTGTATATAA